GAGATGTGGACTCCCCAGTTAGTTCTTCTCCTCCATACATTTCGTTCATACCTTTATGACCCTTGTAAACCTAAAGTTTAACCTTTCCCTTTTTAATTACTCCAGACTCTTCCACTCAACCAGTCTGGTGCTTCTGGTCACCTCTCCGGTGATCAACTAGAGATCGTCCAAAACAAGGATACTTCTCTCCAAACTGCGGATGCCAATACAACTGTCAGTTTATCGGCGACTTAGGCGCATAATTATAAAACATATCCACTTCATCAAAGATTTTATTTGTTCCCGTTGCATATAGGTTGGTGTCTTAAACCAGACCGGTGAGGGTGGTTTCATCCACAGGGTTCAGCATGTCGTAGACCACATCCCAGACGGCTCCAGTCAACTCACTAACATGGACGCTCGATCAGGCGACCTCAACAAGGTAAAGATCTAATATTATTATTAAAATATTCTACCCTTATCTCACTTTCTGAACCAACGCAGATTACCAGCGAGTCAGTGCCTGCCGATTCTCGTATGATTGCTTCTTCAGACAAACCCACAGACAAGGAGATCGTTCAACAATCAGCACTCAATCAAGATGTTTCGTTTGGCCTGGCTCTTACAGTTGTACCACAGGTAGAACATTACACATAGCTCAATTCGCGTGTATGCTTTACGAGACTGACCAAACGTAACCATTGATTCTTGTAGCCCATGAACTCCCACTTTGAACAGCAGATTAATCATAGTGCGGAAACACTTATCCAACCAGGGGATTCTTCAAAGGTATCTAAATACTACCTCTTTTTTTTATGACCTTCTTCCTACTCTGTCTTAGTTAACCGATCAGGTTAGTCACACGTTTAATATTAGCTTTACACTACTCTACCAATATCTAGATTTCCTAGTTAACTTAAGTCTTACGCGGAATACTACTCGGCAATGCTTATAGGCCGTCCTCAACACCGCCGAAGCCCTACACAATACAACTGAACTTCCTTCCTTTTTAGCGGTAACATTACAGATTAGTTCAGGTTTTTCTTCACAGATTCCCTATGTGAAAAAACGGTAAATGTGTTCTGTTTTTCACAATAGGGACTGTGTTTCATTGATAGTGATGAGGCCGTGTCACATGTTATGGCTTCTCTTAACACATGACTGCCTAAAGATTATGCTGATTTTGACCATATAGAGGTCTACATATACTCTACTAAGTATGTTCTTTCCTTACATTACTGTCCTTCTGTCCACCCAAATCTAATATGTTATCCCTTATCAGGAAAGCCAAACCCGACTATCGGCTGATGCTGCCCCAACTTCTGGACCTGATTATGACGCCTCTCAACTGAAGGTAATTGTAGACCACACGGGGGCATACATGTTTACTGGGTGCTCACATATCCACGTGCCAATAACCACAGATCTTCACTTTGGTTACCAGTTCCTTTGTTTATCAAATTCTAGCTCTCCATTACTTCGCAGGAAAGCCAAGTTCGACCATCATCCGATGCTGCACCATCGATAGGACCTGATCATGACGGGGCTCAAGAGAAGGTAATTATATACCACATCGGCCACATATCTATTTAATTCTTTTGGACCTGTCCATGAGTATATACCCAACCGAAAATAACTTGTCCATCCCTTCGCAGGTAGGTACCGACCGAACATCAGCCGATAGTCCACAACCGGTAGCTCATGATCATGCCGCGCTTGAAACTACGGTAAGCGTATACCACATCATTGCATACCAGTTTACATATTTATGTCATATACATGTAGTTATAACCTCATCCATCTATAAACGTCACACTACCGCAGCAAGTACGAAGATCTGCTTCTTTCACTTTCAACCAATCAGTTCCGGGCCCTGACTCGGTAATTTTTAAAAACTGTTCGCCTGTTTCTTACTCTACTTGCACAACCGCCTTGACTCTTTGCAAATTGAATCCAGGATCCACGCCATCTCACGCTCTTCCCTGGTATTCTTAACAACTCGACAACTGCTCCACTCGACGAACAGGTTTGGACTATAAGCTACATGCATTAAACTGCAATATAAAATATAACAACCATTCCAAGTTAACTCATCTCCTCTTTTTTATTTACAGATCCCATGCCACGTCTCCATAGGCTCTCCGGTCTTAGACCAATCTCATGCAGTATCCTTCCATAGCCAGGTTAGCCTAACCAGCAATCTATCAGCTGTTTGTCCTTGTACTTATTTGAAACATCCACCTATCCCTGTCCACAACCTGTTTCTGCAATATTTACATCCACCTATCCTTGTCCACAGCCTGCAGTTACGGACGTTGCTATTTTAACAACGGGCCAACAGTCTTCTTCGCCTGTCCTTCTTAGCCATACATCAATACGTTCCGGCGACTCAACTGCCCTACAACTGGCTGCTCTGTTTGGGTCCAACCCAACAAGGGATCCTCAAAATATTCTCCCCACAGTCACCGATGATCAGTTCCAAACTTTCAACGAAATACTCTTGTCTTCCCCTTTTAGGTATATCTAAATCCTACCCCCTTTCGACATCAACTTTGCTTCTTACATCCGCTCACACCCTATCGGCATTTGCCTCAGGACTCATAAACTAAAATGTGGACAAGAGATTACCAACGACTTCTTTTTGGCGCTTGCGGAAAAGAACACATGGACAACACCATTGGTAATCATTCATTATATGTTGTTAATTACAATTTTTTGTTACATCCCCCTAATGTGCTCATACGTTTAAAACGTTTACGCAGCATATGGAACTGTTAATGTCTTATCTTGCCAATCGACATGCTCAAACCCTTACGGAAGAACGAAGCACCTTCTCTACCCCTAGTCTTGCTTCAACTTTGCAGGCAAAATACAGGTCGTTCAGTAAATCCATCAACAAAAGTTTGTTCGTTTGGGATGATAAGATAAAAAAGTTCACATCTATGGATGGGCAAACCTGGTTCACTGACATTGATTTTGTCTATACCCGAATGTTATGGGGAGACAACCACTGGGTTGGCTTGGTGATCAGCTTAAAGTTGTGGTATGTCTATGTCTTTGATCCAAACCCTAAACTCACTACCAAGGAGGAATCCGCTGCCTATATGGAACCTCTCGTAAACCAGCTACCTTACATAGTCAAGAAGTTCTGTCGTGAGGAGCAGTCCCAATCTCACGGAGTTGACCCGTTCAACTGGGGGCGGATTAAAGGTAACTACAAATTCACAGCGTCTGGTTTCAGTGGCCCGCTTGCGGTAAAGCTTATGGAGAACCACTTGCTCGGTGACATAATCAAAGACGGTTCAGTTATCTCAGACGAATCCATTGTTTCTCTAAAAAGGGCTTATGCAATGGACCTGTACCAAGATCTTGTCGCTCAACATTTCCAATTTCCTTAACCCACCTTTTAAATAACTCTCGCTAATGTTTTCGTTCTTTTTTCCCCGTTGTAACAAGCTTACCTCTATTATGTTTTTATTTTGGCGATTGGGGACTATAAACTACTATAACTCGTACACTACCACATACGAGATGTGGTTACGTCCACATATGCGCTTCGTTGGGTTGTGTCGTCGTCCACAAAGTATACTATCAAATTATTGTGTTAGGTGGTTACGTCCACAAAATTAACTACAATTTGTCTTCCCTAAATACTGTTTATCACTTGCTTCCTATATATTCCGTTTTAACCCCTTGTAGATGTATCTTGTCCGATTCTTAAGATGCCTTATAGTTACAGTTGGAGCTCCGAAGGATCTGCTGTTCCAGAAATTCCAGAATTCGACTGGGGCCCGGTGCCTGACGTCGGATTCCCAACTAATTGCTCCTGCGGTCGACCCTTGTTTATCGAGACGTCCGATACCCCTCCCAATCAGGGCCGTCGCTTCTACTCTTGTAATATACCCATCGTAAGTTGACCAGCTGACCTTTAAAGCTATTTTTTGCCCCTTAGGACACCCCAAGGTCCTTGACTACTTCTGATGTACTCTACAGGGGACCGGCTGCGGCTTCTGCAAATGGTGGGATCATGCAATCACGGAGGAGGTCCGACTTCTAAAAGATACCCAGAAGGAGCACTCGGAGGATCTTTATTACATCTGCTATACCGACGACCATATGAAGGTTGATTTTTCGGCGAAGTGGCGGGATATAGCCACGGCTCAGGAAAATACCGAAAACATCCAACGCCAACTACAAGCTGTCCAGGACGATAACAAGAATACTCTAACCGCATTTCAGGATGCCTTGAACCAACTTGCTGTTCATCAGCGCAAAATGAATAGACGTTGGGTTTTGTTCTCCGCCGGCCTCGGCGGTGTTATTTTACTGTTTTCCTACCTATCCACACAATCTTATCCACTCTTGAGGTTTTCAACCTCTTTGTAATTCTGTAATCCTATCGGAACCTGACTACGTTGGTTTAATTTTAACATTATCTTCATATCTCTGCGGCGGGGTACTATTTATATAATTAAATTTTCTCTACCATCACTCAGTTGATCATATACAATTGATGCCTTTGGATGCGGGCATCCCCAATAGGTTCAGACTATCTATCAGTCAGAGACATTTATATGGATGTGTCCATAAGCCGACATCAAATCATTATTAAATTTATTGATAAAGATATCAATAGATGCAAAAATCCCTGTTATCAAAGAACCCCGAACCCAATTTCAAACTAAAAACGCTGAAGTCACTTAATATCCTTAGGCCGTTCCATTCCTGGTCACCTTAAACAAAGAATCTGATCCTGTTCTCGTCCACAACAATGTCACATGGATATGGTAGAGCACCTAATCGGGTTACTTTTCACATTTTTTCTATCTCTTTCATATATCCTTAGTCAACCTTCTCCCCCCTTTTCCCGGGGAATAAATTAAACATTTATATTAACAAATTAACCTCAATATATACCTTACCCCGGTAAATCAGATTACTCTATCTTTTACCTTCCAAAAAACCAACAATTCTTCTCCTCCACTTTTCAAAAGTTGTTTCACTTTCCCCCGCCCGTTATAATGGAAAGGGTTAACCCAGTCGACAAATCCTTCTCTCAAATCCCTGAAATCCTCTCCCAGATAAAAGCAGCCAACCCCGGCACTGTCACGGAACTTGCAACTGCTGCCTCCGAGCAAGGTTCCCATCACTTCAAACATGTTTTCATTTCCCATGGTGCATCTCAAGATGGTTTCCCCTTCCAACGAAATCTCATCGTCGTGTCCGGTGCACATCTCAGGCGTAATAAACCGTTATTTCTCATTGTTGCCGTCAGTCAAGATGCAAACTTTCAAACATTCCCTCTAGCTTTCGCAGTCGTAGACAGCCAGTCCGATCAATCTTGGAGATGGTTCCTCCGGCACCTTGAACAGTGCTTCTCCGACAGTAAACAGCTGACTGTCCTATCAGACGGTGGTGCAATGGTCTCTAGGGCCCTAACGGCTTGCTATCCAGAGGCTCATCATGTTGATTGCCTACGTCGTCTTCAGCTCTCCGTCCATCTGTACTTCAAAGTGAACGCCCTCAAATCCTTGGTTAGAGAGGCTGCCTGTGCCCACACTGCTGTTGCTTTCCGCAGGTCATTCAACAAGATCAAAGAAGTTAATCCTGACTGTGCAGACTACTTACAAGTTGTTGGTTTCCCAAGATGGACTAGCTATTACCAGGCCGGCGATCGTTTCAACATTATGACGGCGGGTATCGCACAAGGATTCATCCATTCTCTTCTACCCCAAACTGTTGGCCCTATTAGCAACCTCCTTCACTGCTACCACACAACTGCTATGTTGTGGTTCCGAGCAAGGCTCCACGCCGCAATGGACCACACTGGCGTTCTGAAACCAGGTGTACAAAGCTACATGGACCGGATCTCCACAACCAAGTCGCAATGGAAGGTGATTATCAAAAGCTCTGGGACTTGTGAAGTTATTAGTACTCAAGGGGAAATTCAGTTTGTTTCTCCATTAAGACGTTCCTGCTCTTGCAAAGTGTTCAACAAACTAAGGATCCCTTGTGTCCATGCAATGGTTGCTTCTGAATCACTGGGTGTCTCAGCTGAGGCTTTAGTCCATCACTGTTACACATCTGTTGCTTGGTTTGAATCATACATCACTCAGCTGCACCGTTACCAAGAGCTACCAAACGCAGAAACCATTACACAAGTATTTCCCGAACTCCTCCCACCGTCCACAAGCTCAATTGCAGGAAGCCCTACGGCTACTATTCGCATGGTAATTATTTTCCTACATTTTATATAATATTCATTGTGATATCTCAATTCACATCCAGAAATTTCATTAATTTCTTTACATTCCCAGCCAATGTAATGGACCTCGGAGAACGGTGCAAGCTAGCTGTCACGGTCAAATTCGGATTTTCGTCATTTCAACTCATCTATTTAGTCTTGTCATTTGTCCTGCTGTTGCTGTTTAATATTATTATTGTTTATGTTACTTTTATGTTATTTATACTTATGTTTGTTAGCCCGGTGGTTACTCTGTAACTTTTTTTTGGATTCCAACTATAATGTAATCGTTTCTTTTTGCTGACCAGTTTATGCATTCTAATTATATCATTATTTTTGACTACATCCTAACTACAAAATTAAAACTCTCTTCCCAATATCAATTCAAATTTCTTATTATTATCGCTTTGCGGATATGTACTCGTCCATATCAGCTTACCCTACCCGCTGGTTCGGTTTTCAATTTCCGATTTCCCACTTGACACCTAATTATTCACAAAAAAACCCAATTTATTGCTTACCCTCGATTGGGATACCTGTCAACGACTACATCACATCGCCGGAAATTGCCTCAATGCCTGTGCCTCTCCCAAGGGCTTGTCATACAGCAAAGATGATAGGTGAAATGATGATATTTAACATTATTTTCAAAAGGATATATACACGTCCATCCCTCTCTGGATAACACATTCACACCTACAAACTAACCATACAACTGTCATCTGACTTTTCACTACGAAAGTACCCAAAACACTTTCTGAGCCTTGAATGCGACGCCTTTCAAGGACTACATCACACCGTCCAATGTATACTTTTTATCCCGCAAGGCCGGCTCAAATAAAAAAACCAATACATTATCCGATCCGTCCACCTTGTATAATTTTTAAGCGTCTTTTCTACAATATATTTGGATATATCCACCTTCAAGCTCCAAAATGTCTGCCTCTGAGCCCTACCATACAAGACTACCTATACTATATAGGTTTAACGTAGTCTTACCCACAAAATTACTCCAACAGATCTCAATATGCCTAACCACATTTGCCAATCAAGGTGGACACAACCATATAGATACAAAATTCATGTGTTTAAAACAAAGTAAATTTAAAACACAGAATTTAAGCGCGATCTTTTGTTACGGAAATATGTATCTCATCAGCTTTCTGGAGTACAGTCATCGTATAAAATCCTTTCGGCTCTAAACAGATCCAGTTAACATCAAAATACCATTATACTCTCCAACTTCAACTCTGGGTCAGTTAACATCGTATAAACAGCATATCAAGGTTTGCTAACTCCCATCTATTTCTCAAGACTTAAATTTTTTGAATAAATTTCTAAACTCTTCTCCATTCAGATCTAATGACGTTTCACTGTGAATGCTCGGCGGGCGAATGGCGTTATACCTCTGACCATTCATGGTTTTTCGACGCCGACACGTCCCTTATGTCAGGTGTTATATGCATACACGAAGGTATGGATATTAGCGCTCTACAAGAAAGTGTGCGTCAAGAATTTATTGGCCCAAATTCTGAAGTGATGCCAGTAGAAATCTCTTACTGGAATCCGCCATCCGACCCCTGGTCCGGGGGTGTTGCAACTCCTCCAGTTGTTCTTCGCAACTCTGGTGCGGTCTCCTTCTTAATCAAACGTCTTCAACAAAACCCTTCGATGAGGCTCTTTGTTCAGTTCGGAAAGAAAAAACACACACCCACCGATTTGGTCTCAGGGTGTGTCAACATCCCTCAACGTAAAAAACAATGTCTCCCTGAAGTTATCACTCCGCAAATCTTTACGCCAAACCAAGGCACATTAATGTCTTCCGAAGCCTCTGGTTCATCGAGATCAGCCGCATTTAGCACTCCAAAATCTACTGCTGCATCTGTTGACCTGTTGGAGGACGACCACCTCATACAACATGCCCTTCATATTGAACATTCATTATCAATATCTTGCCCTCAACCTCCGGACAAGCAACGCAAGCCCTCGGCCACGCAATTTATGGACAACATCCGAGACGTCCCAACTTTTGATTTGTCGCTTCCAGAAGACGTTGAACTCCCTTGCCCCCAACCTCCAGACAATATCGATCCTGAAGACACCTCAATCACGTCATCAAGCGAAGAAGACGAAACTGATAACGCAGACCTTGATGTTGTATACACACGTGGCTATGACCACAAATTCTGGAACCCACTTTTAGAAAGCGGGTTCGGTGGCTCAAATGCTCCCGAAATTGTATGCGAAGAAGGTGGTAATGGTCCTCAAAATAAAATGCCTATCGACGTTTCCCCACAACCTTTTTCAATCGCAGACTCTACATACCCGTCCACATCCAATCCTGGCTCGAATCCGCGTCCATCAAGCCCTATCCACAGAAATCTATCATCATACGCGGACGAGGATTTCGACATCCCTCCTTTGTTCGATGATTCCACATACGCTGTCTCTGATATCCCAGATTTGGATGGTTTGGACGACGATGACAACCTCTTCGTTGGTAAAAAGTATAAGACCAAAGCGGACTGCCAGATTGCAATGGCCGTGTACGCGATAAAAAAGATGTTTTGTTTCAGACAAACACGGTCAAACAGGAGGAAATTTATACTTTTATGTACAGATCCCAAATGTTGCTGGCGGATCCGGGCTGGGCAGATTGGTCAGACGGGGTATTTCGAACATAAAATGGTGGACCTGGAACATACATGCGCCTACGAAACAAAACAAGACTTCCACAAACAAGCTACTTCACGAATTATAGCTTCTGTATTAAAATCCAAATACAGTGATCCAGCAAGTGGCCCAAACGCTTCCGCGGTTCAACAACTGGTTCTACAGGAACTACGAGTTTCTGCATCGTGGATGAAATGCTACCGCGCCAAGGGACAAGCTCTTGCTACCTTCCGTGGACACGACCAGGATTCCTACTTGCGGCTTCCTGCCTACCTTCAGATGCTAAAGCTTGCCAATCCCAACACAGTAACTGCGTTAGAAACCGATACAGATAAAGATGGTTCGCTGAGATTCCGCTATGTCTTCGTTGCTTTTGGGGCATCAATTTTAGGATTTCGTCGCCTACGCCGGGTTCTGATCGTAGATGGCACACATTAATGGGGCAATTTCAAAGGAGTTCTGCTAACGGCTTGTGGGCAAGATGCCAATTTCCAAGTCTTTCCCTTGGCATATGCCGTTGTTGACGCCGAAAACGAAGACGCGTGGACATGGTTTTTTATGAAAGTGGAACATTTACTATCTGACAGTTCAAATCTGACTATCATCTCAGATCGTGCTGATTCAATTTACACAGCAAAAGTAAGGGTTTTTCCTAAGGCACACCACGGTGCCTGCATTGTTCATCTTCAGCGCAACGTCAAGTCGAGATTTAAGAACAAGGGCCTGGCCACACTTCTTTCAAATGCAGCTTACGCCTATAGGCAAGGCAATTTTCGCGATGCGTTTGACAAAATACGGGACTGTAGTCCTCAGTGTGCCGCATACCTGGAAACCATTGGTCATGCCCATTGGTCACGCTATTATTTTAGGGGTGAACGATTCAACATCATGACTAGTAACGCTGCAGAGCAACTTAATAATGCTTTGAAGAAAGGCCGAGCCTCACCCATTGTCGAGCTGCTTGTTTTCATCCAGAGGATGATGTCTCGTTGGTTTTGTGCACGCCGGAATAAAGCGGCCAAATGGGAAGGTCTATCAACACCTGAAGTTGACAAATTGATAACTAAGCACAAAGCAGAAGGCACCTTCAGCAAAATAAACCACTTATCCAATTGGACTTGCGAGGTAATTGGTCGTTTGGGAGAAAAGAATCGCGTTATGGTCCACGATAAGAAATGCAGTTGTAAGGTTTATGATCGCCTACAGATACCGTGTAGCCACGCATTGATAGCTGCGGACAGTTTGGGATTGCCCTGACCATCTCTGCTATCTGACTACTACAAAACATCCACCTGGGCAGCCACCTACAAGGAAGTAATTAACCCTGAAGGAGATCCTGACGATGCCGATCTCCCTCAATCTATTGTTGACATGGTCTTACTACCTCCTAAATCTAAAAGACCTTCAGGCAGGCCTACAGGAAAAAGAATTCCTTCAAAAGGAGAGTTACGGGTAAGTCGCCATTTGTTTTTTGTATATACTACACTATATATTTGTTTGTTTCTAATGGTAACTTTATCTGCATATGAAGCCAAACCGGATCAAGAAAACAGTTCAGAACAAGTGTGGACGATGCCACCAGAGTGGGCATAACCGCATCAGCTGTACAAATCCACTATGAGGGGCTAGTTTAAGACTCCCTTGCTTTATGGATATCCATGTCCTTCTTTTGTTTATGGTTTGCTATAGCCATCTACACTTTTGTAATATATTATAATTTCGAATTATGTAAACCTAACTTTAAATGCACCAATCCTTTTTTGATTTCTCTTCCATTAGCGATCCCCCCCCAAAAAGTGATCGGAACTAGACCGAATACAGATGTTAGTCACCACCGTCATACCCTTGCACGCGGAAAGTATTGTTTTACCTACATTAACAACTCCCCCTGTTATATGGACCAAGAATTACAGACAATATACATCACCATCGAACTCTTTTAATCACCATCGAACCCTTTTTCTATTTTCTATATAACAACACTGATACATCTAATGGATACTATTATAACACCTGTCATATTGTGGAAATTTAACTCCCTTGCCCATTTTGGCCATGTTGCTATCGCCTAAACAATATAGTTATCCACGCAATAGATATCAGGTTATAGTTATCCACGTTATAGTTACCAGGAAAAGGAGTCCACACTGCTCTGGCCAAGGTTTGGTTCCACAAAACGCAGAGACATTACATTCATATATGTACCATAAAAGACTTTCACATAATATGATCTATTCACTAGTTGTTATAGTACCATCCATGCCGATCCTATCGATTATGAATCACCATCCATTATGTTTGCGCATTATGTACCACAACAGATGGTAAGAGTAAAGGAACGCCCAAAATTGGTTTTCGAAGTACTCTGTATCTACAATCCGAATGAAATCCAAATGAAATTTTCGAAGT